TAGGGGAGCTCTGGTGGCCTAGTGGCAAGAAGCTGCACTGCAATCCCAGAGGCGCACGGTGCGAATCCAACAGATGCTCTGCCGGGGAAGGAGGGGAAATCTCCTCCTGTACCAGTCAGATCTGATTTGACGGTACACACACACAAAAATAATAAAATAAACATTTTAAAAAATTATTTTAAAAAAATGCAGCTCTGAGCCTTGTCCTATCTGTGCCTCTCTTGCCATCTCTGACATGGTGAAGCCCATAGGTAAAGTCACGGTGTCAGTCCATCTTGTTGAGGGTCTTCCTATTGTCCTCTGGTCCTCGACCTTTGCCAGCATGAGGTCTTTTTCCAAGGACCCTTGGCCCTTCCTGACAATATATCCAAAGTACGTCGGAAGAAGTTTCACTATCCTTGCCTCCGAGGGGCATCCTGGCTACACCTTTAACAACTGCAAGTAGACTTCAGAAGGACCCCTGGCAGTAATGTAGTCTAAGATCTAACCTGCTGCTAATCTGCTAGTCATCTGTTCAAACCCACGAGTTTCTCCATGAGGAAAAAAAAAAATTAAACGGTCTCTTTCCATAAAAATTTACAGCCTTGGAAAGTCTACAGGGCGGTTCTACTATGTCCTTTATGGGTCTCTATGGTTTGATATCAGTAAAATGACACTGGATGGGGGAAGATGACTCCAAGGGAGCCCTGGTGGCTGAATGGTTAAGCATTGATATGCACACTGAAAGATCAATTGTTTGAACCCACCAACCACTGTCCAGGAGAAAGATCAGTGTGCTAAAGAGCAATGATGTCAGTGTAGAGACTAAGGTGTACCTGATCCAAGCCATGGTCTTCACAATTACTTGCTATGCAACTGAGAACTGGACAATGACTAAGCATGACAGAAGAAGAACTGATGCCTTTGAGGTCTGGTGCCAGAGAAGAGTATTGAACATACCATGAACCACAAAGAGAAGAAACAAGTCTGTCCTGGAGAGGGTGAGACCAGGCTGCTCCTTGGAGGCAAGAATTTTGAAACCCTGTCTGACCTACTTTAGGTATGTTGCCAGGAGGAACTTGGAGAAAGACATCTTGCTTGGAAGAGCAGAGGATCAGCATAGAAGAGGAAGACCCTGGATGAATGGATTGACACAGCAACTGTGGCAATGGAAGCAGGTGTGTCAGAGATGGTGAATCTGGCTCAGGATAAAGCAGGGTTCAGAGCTATAGTTCATAGGGTCACTATGAGTTATAGTCGACACATAACAATAACAACAACAGCTGCCACAAGATTTGCCTTGCAGACGTCCTGAGGAAGTCCTCCTCTGTCTGACAGGGTTGATGGGCTTCTCGGCCAGAGTCAATCTGATGGCAGTGGAGTTAGTATTTTGATTTTAGGTGCCCAATATTCATTTGCGATTTAGACTCTTTGCTCTCAGTAAACATTCTTTTTAAGAGCAGGAAATGCAGTTCTCATGGGAGGCTTGGCTTACACCAAGATTTTTCCCACACCTTCAGAGAAGTTAGAGGTGGTTTGTTTTGGTTTTTTTCCAAAAGCAAATTAGCTCTTAGTGCCTTTAGTTTCTTCCCACCCACTTGTTAACTCCACCTCCACAGAGCACACGCTTTCTGCATCCTGATGAAGGTGCAGAGACTCCAGTTTCCACTCCTCCTACAGCCTCCCCTTTTCCTGTTGACACAGACCTTCAGACGTGTAGTCTGTAGGGAGTTGTGCTGCTACCCCAAGGCAGCACTTCTCTAGTGGTTTGAATCCACCAGCAGCTCCAAAGGAGAAAGATGGGCAATCTCCTCCTGTGAGATTTACATCTGCTGAACGTCAACTATGAGTTGGTTCCTACTTGACAGCCATGAGCTGAAAGTTGAATTGGTCTTATTAGTTATTAGTCTTATTGTTATTCTTATATAATTGTTGTTGTTGTTGTTAAGTGCTGTCGAGTCGCAGGCGAGTCATAGCGATCCTATGAAGGAGAGACCTCGACGCTTGGGTGCCTTTCATCCTCTCTCCAGGTTCATAGGGTTTCCAGAGGCAAGCTGTTACTGAAGTGGATGCCACTCCTCCTTCCAACTTATATAATTAGTCTTACAATTATTCTTATAGTTATTCTTGCACATCCTCACCATGTAGTTTTACAAAAAGAGGCGTATTTAGTGAAAATAGCATCTATAATTTTTATTTTAGTTTATTATTTTGTGTGGGTGTACTGTCAAATCAGATCTGACTGGTACAGGAGGAGATTACACCTCCTTCTCCAGCAGAGCATCTGGTGGATTCAAACCGCATACCTCTGGGATTGCAGGAAAATAGCATCAATAATGAGTTTGTTGAGGGTTTTCTTATTGGTTTGCTTACAAAGTTTGTATACATTGTATTTCACACTATTCTTCACTCAAAATGTGTTTCATACAATCAGTCTAATACGTTGTTGTTGTTGTTATGTGCCATCGAGTCATTTGCGACTCATAGCGACCCTATGTACAAGAGCCCTAAACGCCGCTCTATCCTGTGCCAACCTCGCCATCTCAAACACATTCATTCCCACCACTCCACTCACAGAATCGATCCTTCTCATTGAGGGTCTTCCTCTCCTGCGCTGTCCCTCCACTCTCCCAAACATGATGTCCCTCTCCAAGGACCAGTCCCTCTTTGCAACATGCCCAAAGTATGTCAGACAAAGAAGCTTCAGAATCCTTGATTCCAAGGAGCATTCCGGCTTCACCTTCTCCAGGACAAACCTGTTTGTTCTCCTGGCACTCCATGGTATATTCAACACTCCTCCATTACCGCAGCTCAGAGTCATGCATTTTATTGTATAAAAGTAATCACCACTGGACCTTGTCCGTCATCACCCTGTCTTTTCACCTGAATCCTTCTCACATCCTTCCCCCCCGCCTCCACCTACCAACTATGCGGCTCTGTGGTTTTATGGCAACTAGTTTGAAATTGCTTAATGGTCTCTGACAGCTGGTGAGACTGTGATGGTGAATGGCAACCTCTCATTGTCATCCTCCTCTTAGGTGACAACCAGGACAAGTGGCACGTTTGCCATCCCTTAGATAGACTTCTCTATATGAATTTCCTCATCTCATCTGATCTAGACCTTCCTTCCAGCAACAGCTCCTACCAATGGTCTTGTTTGAAGTCACACACTATCTAGAAAGAGAATGATCCGTTTTGCTTCATGGGAAGAACTTCTCTGTCTCTGTGGGCACCTTGGTGTCCTCTGATTCCCATTACTGGGATCCTGTCACTTCACATGGAAAAGGATCTCTGGACGTAGGAGCCCAAATTTTACACAAGATTATTTCTTTAGTAACTTAAACTCTATTTTATCCTAAAACAAACATCTTCACCACTGGATCAATTGGCAATATCACGCTAGATGAAGAAAAGATTGAAGTTGTTAACGATTTCTATTTACTTTGATCCACAATCAACACCTATGGTAACAGCAGTCACAAAATCAAAAGATGTTTTCCATTGAGAAAATCTGCTGGTAAGGACCTCTCCAAAGTGTTAAAGAGCAAGGACACAACTTTAAAGATTAAGGCATACCTGATCCAACCTATGATATTTTCAATCACTTCCTATGCATCTGAAAGTTGGACAATGCATATGAAAGACCAAAGACGAATTGATGTCTTTGAACGGTCGTGTTAGCAAAGACTATTGAGTACACCATGAATTGTCAAAAGAACAAACAAATCTGACTGTGAGGGGACCCATCTTGGCCCATCTAGAGGGGTACAGCACTCTCTTCACTTGACCTCTGCCATCAGATATGCCCTACTCCAGTCCACTTTCCACATAGCAGTCAGGGTGATTATTGGGTAAACAGACCTTAACCAAGACCTTCTTTCTTTCCTTGACTCCCTGGTATTGACTTGAGACTTGACATTTACCATGTGACTAACTGCGTCCCTACCTCCTGCCCGTCCAACCCTCACTGCTGGCGTTCTTAAACACACAAACACACTGGCTTATTCCTGCTCTGCCATGTTTGACCACCTCTCTTTGGTTCTTCCTCATTTCTTGATTAATAATTTCTCAGATTTTATTGCCATCAAATAAGAACCGGCCCATAGCTAACTGATTGTGCAGTGGGTTTTCAGAGGCAGTAAATCACACAGGTGAGATTTAGAGCAGCTGGTGGATTTGAACCGTGTATCTTTGGGTTTGCTGTGTGACTTCTTACCACAGATCCACCAGAGCATCACTACTGGTCTGAAAGGGCTCTGTGACAGTGGGTTTAGTTTAGCAGGAAACCAACAGAAAAGCCATTTGTCTCACAAGGACAATGGAAAGACACCCGTTGCTTGTGACTCTTAAATGCACGTATCTTTTTGTTAATGAAAGCAGTGACCACGTTGCTAATAAGAACCACAGATGAGCAGCAGAATAAGCATCACAGAGTCTTATCAGGGCAGGAAGAAGAAGTATTAGTCCCATTTTCCCACTTCCGGAGCAGCTTTCCTTCTCGATTCCCAAGGGCAGTATCCTCTTTACCTGCAGATGCTGACAGAGATTCAGACATTCTTTACCAAGCTACAGGGCATGACGAAGAGGACATGCGGGAAGCAGCTGACAAATTTAAGGTGTAGAGCATTATGCTGAGTGAACTAACTCAGCCCCACAAAGATAACTATTGTATGAAACTGTTATTGTAGAAAGAGTCTAAGGATCCAGGAGGGGTGCGAGAGAGCAGAGGGATACGGATGTGCTGGGGGAAGGGGAGATCAATCATTGGGTTGTACAATTTAATGGGAGGAGGTGAGGGAAATTGGAAGAATTTCTTTGAATTTGTATTCGAGTTTGTAAATAAACTAGTGGTGGAAGGGGGAAGAGTTGCTTTTGTTCACAGTACTTGGGTTTTGTAAGACTCTTTTGCTGCTAAGGAGAGTCTGAGAAGTCAGGGTCAGCATGATTCTGAAGGAAGGAGAGAACTGTTAAAAGGGATATGTGATTAGTTATTATTGTCATGACAGGAGTCCGAACGAAGGCTGCACAGTGGAGTGGACTCAGGGGGAGGGATTGTATAACAATGAAAGAATTTTTTTCTTTTACTTTTCAAAGAGAAGCGTGAACAGGGGCAGGGAGAAAAGTGCAACAATGAATAAATGGAAATCCAAAGTTTCTGTAAATTTTCATTAAAATTAATAATAAGAAGAAAGTGGAAAGAAATGCAAAGGTCCTTCCGTCATTGTTAAGTGCCATTGCGTTGACTATGGTTCATAGCGACCTCACAAATGATGAAACGGAAACATGCCCCATCCTGAGCCAGGGAGGAAAGCTGCTTACTTGAGTTTCGATTGAAGGGGTGCTCCGTGGTGCTCCAGGCTGAGGTCTGCGAGCCCAGTGTGGCTCGGACCCGCAGGTTGTACCACACAGTGGCAGTGATGTCCTCCGTGATGTCGCACGAAGAACTTTCGGTAGGTGAGCACCAGCGGCTGGGGATCCAGCAATCACTCAGGTACAGGCTCTCGTACTCCCTGGCCACGAAGAAGAAGACACAGCATCAAACCAGACCCCGTCAGCCAGCCTCAAGGAGGTAACTAACTGCCTTTGTGCTAAGACTGTGGATGGCTGAGCAAAATAATGAATCGTTAACCTCCACTCCCTAACCCTCCTACTGTCATCAGACAAAGGAAAACCAGGCATAAGCATCTTTCCATTCATTCTTTTCATCCCCATCACCAACAACCTAATGTCAAGTCCCATAATCCCTTGCCTTGCTGTGTTTCTCAACTGGCCTCCCCACTCCCAGCTTCTACACCTGCTGTTCTTCAGACCACCCATCACTCCCCAAGTCGCAGTAATCCCGCACCCCCGCTGGCTGGCACTCAGACCAGAGTCGGGACCCTTTCCAATGACCTGCAAGCTTCTCTGGCTTCCTTTCCAGCCCTTCCCCTAAGCACAGCCTTCCTGCCACATTGGTCCCTCACCATCATTCCTCCAACATGCCTTGTTGTTGTTGTTACATAACATCAAGCCAGAACTGACCCATAGCTGACCCTTCATAGGTCTTCAGAGTCAGGAAATCACTTGGGAGAAGATTGTCCATCTTTTTCCTGCAGAGCAGCTGGTGGATTCGAACCACATGCCTTCAGGTTGGCAGTGCAGCTCCTTACCACTAAGCCACCCGCTCCCTCTAACATGTCCTAAGTTCTTCTGCACCTTAAGATCTCTGAACTAACTGTTCTCTGCATCTCGAGTGCTCTGCCCACACTGTTCACTTGGCTGGCTACCCTTGTCCTTTAGATTTTGGGTTAAATATCACTTCATAATCCAGTGAAATTTGCCCTGTTAACCCAAAGTACTCTCTCCTCTGGTGTTTCAAATCTGCCATCTGTTCTAAAGGAAGAAATGGATAATCTCCTCTCATGTGACATACAGGGTCAGGAACTCCCACGAGGACCAGTTTGACCTCAGAGAGAACTTAACTGACCACTCAAATCAATGGCCACATCACCTCTCAGCTTCTATCTAGCATTGATCACTGTTTGGAATTACCTAGAGCAAAGGCAGGGAAAAGACTTTTTTTAAATTGCTCTGCATTTTCTGTGTCCAAAATAGTAAGTACCAGTCACATGGAGCCACTAAGCTCTTGGTATGTGGCTAATGTGACAGGACAAAATTAGTGGTAAGAAGCTGCGCTGCAATCCCAAAGGCATGTGATTCAAATCCACCAACTACTCCTCAAGAGAAGTATGGACAATCTCCTCCCGTACAATTAACTGCCTCTGAAAACCCACTGGAGGGTCAGCTATGGGCCGGTTCCAACTCAATGGTCGCACAAGAACAGTCGTCTGTGGTCATGGAGCTTTTAAAACGTGGCTAATATGACAGAGGGACAAAATTATTCTTTCATTTCATTAAATGACATTCATTAAATTCATTAACAAGGTTATCACATCAGATCATGTGGATCTAAGTGTATTTATTTCTTCACTAGTTTCATGTTTGAATTCTTCTCTAAATGTTAGCTCTCTATACCCAGAAATCTGACCCCATGCCCTTCAGAGCCTGAAAGAACACCTACACACAGAGATGCTCAGTTTATCAATATTGTTATTAAACTCTACGGAGCATCTTCTGTGAGCCCGTCAGGCTCTTACCAGCTCTGAGACCCTGGACACCTGAAGAAGAGTCGGGCCCATATGATTTATTTTGACTTCTAGCAGAAATGCTATCAGGCAGCTCATAGTCAGGAAATTGGATTTCTTTCCCTCCCAAAAGTACCTGAATCTCCAGTGATGTTCCCATCTCAAGTAAGAGCCAAATTTTTCTTTGGCATCGGACAGCTGCCTCATTGTTGAGAAGAATTGCCACCAAATGTGTTATAAACATTTGTGTTTCCTGAACGCTCGCTGTCTAATCTGGAGGATAAATTCCCACGCCTTTTAAGCTCTCCCCGTGCTCAGGCAGACAAAGATCGTCAGGGATACTCTTCTCCTGGGCTTGAAAGGCCTCCTTGGGCCGTGGGAGAGGGCTGTGCCTCCAGGATTCAGCTAAGGGAGAGTGAGCAGTTCTTAAAGAGCAGCTTACCCCTGGTACTCTACAGAGTAGCTTACTGCTCCTCCAGGCGCCGTCACTGGGATCCACGTCAAAAGATGCCTCATGTTGGTTGAATGGACAGAGAGGTTCTGAGGGGCAGGCAGAACGGCCACCGCACCTGAAAAGGAAAGCCAGGCAGACAGGTTGGCAGGTGGGCTCGTTCTGGGATAACGCCATTCATCAAGCTATTAACTAATGAAAGGCTTCAGGTTTACTGACCTTCATTTCTTCACTCAGACGTGTGCTACACTAAACTTATGTTACCATGATCATCGCAATTCTGGCCTTGACAATAAAGTAATGCGTATCGATGTGAAGAATTGTTGTTGTTCTTGTTGTTGTTATGTGTCATCAAGTCACCTGCAACTCACAGTGACCCCGTGTACAACAGCCCTAAACCCTGCTGTACCCTGTGCCAACCTCACTATCTCTGCCACACCCATTGTTCTCAGAGTCAGCCCCCATTCGTTGTGATCCACACAGTCAAATGCCTTTGCGTAGTCAATGAAACACAGATAGACATTCCTCTGGTTACTATCTGCTTTCAGCCAAGATCCATCTGACATGAGCTACAATATCCTAGTACCACGACCCCTTCTCAACCCATCCTGCACTTTAGGGCAGTTCTCTGTTGATGTGCTGTTTTCCAGTCGTTTTTGGATAATCTTCAGCAGAACCTTGCTCACATGTGATATTAATTATACTGTTTGATAATTTCCACACTGTCAGATCACCTTTCTTTGGAATGGGAACAAATATAGATCTCTTCCAGTCAGTTGGCCAGCTGGCTGTCCTCCAGATTTCTTAGCACAGCTTGGTGAGCACGTCCAGGGCAGCGTCTCTTTGTTGAAATGTGTCAGTTGGTATGCCGTCAATTCCTGGGGCCTTGGTTTCGGAGCTCTGGTGGTGTGGTTATTAAGGACTTACTACACTAAACCAAAGGCTGTGCCTCTCTGCTGATTTAAGTCGATGGGAGAAAGATGGATCATTTTCTTTCGTGCAAGTTACAGACTTTGAAGTCCAGTGGAGGATCAGCTATGACTCAGCAACAATGAGTTAATGTTTATTGAGCACTGACATGATCAGTCTAGGCCCTATACTAAATCGTTACGAGATTATGTTTTAACTTCTTAACCAATTCTGAAAGATAAGGACTATTCTTCTCTCCAGTGTATGGATGAAGAAGCTGGAGCACTGTGCTTATGACTCTTAGGCGGGCCTGCCCCAGATCCACACCTTGACCTCAAGCAAGTTGTAGAAACCTGAGCTTCCCACCCCTGTTCTGCAAACTTGAGCAGACTCCAGCTAGCTTCCCATCATCTCACTCTCTTTCTGTTGCCATCACTGAATACACACCAGCAGTCAGGAAATCAAAAGATGAATTGCATTAGGAAAATCTGCTGTCAGAGACCTCTCCAAAGCACTTTAAAGAGCAATGACGCCAGTCTAGAGATTAAGGTGTGCCTGATCCAGGCCATGGTCCTCGTAATTACTTGCTATGCATCAGAGAGCTGAACAATGACCAAGGATGACAGAAGACGAATCAATGCCTTTGACTTGGGGTTCTGGAGAAGAGTCATGGATTGCCAAGAGAACAGTTTTTAGTTGGAGAAGGTGAAACCAAGCTACTCCTTGGAGGCAAGGATTGTGAAGCTCCACCCACATATTTTGGCCATGTTGCCAAGGACTAGTCCTTGGAAAGGGACATCATTCTTGGAAGGGTGGAGGAAAACACAGGAGAGGAGGAGGAAGGCCCTGGATGAGATGGATTGATTCATAACTGGAGTAATGGGGGTTAGTTGGAGTCAGTGAGACTGGCTTAGGATAAGGCAGGCTTTGGAGCTGTTGTGCACATGGTCACTATGAGTCACAGGCAATTCAATGGCACATAACAACAACAACAGCATGGACACAGGGAGTCTAGCATTTGTCCACAGAGTGAAGGAGGCCCGTGGAGTCAAGCCTACTCCCACAAGAACTTATGCCACCCCCGTTCTTCCTCTCACCCAAGCTGTCCCCCCAACCCCTTGTGTTTCTTCTTCTCCCCCTTTCACATACTTCTCTCTTCAAATGTCCAACATCTGCCTCTCTGCTGTTCCTGCCACAGCAATAACATCAACAGCATTGGCAACCGTGGGCCTGGGGCCCCTGCCCGGGGCCTTTCATCTCGGAGCTGGTCTCCTGCTGGGTTTTATCAGACCCTGCCACCACGGGAGGCTGCAGAGGGAGGTGCTGCTGGGGACGCCCTCTGACACCCCTCCATCTTGCCCTCAGCATCTGTGGGCTTGTGTGTGAGGAAACACCTGTGGCACCCACAGGGGAGGCTTCCTGCCTGACCTACCCCCAGCCCTCAATCGCCCGAAGTCCTGGGAAAGAAAAGGGGTGAGCTCAGGGGTGGCACAGGCTGAGAGGATGGGTATGGCTTCCCTGACGTCCTTCCTCTGGTCAAGTATGCAAAGCATTCCTCTCAGCTATTTGGAAAGATGAAGCTACCTCGGAACCAGACGCCCAGCCCAGCTGAGGAATGCAGAGCCATCACAGGCCAGGCTTTATCTCCAGGCTGGCCCAGTCCCACATGGAGATTTCACAGGCTTTGCACAGAGCCTTGAATCTTCTGATCTTCTCTGTTCAGTTCATTCCATAACTTGGCTACAGCCTCTCCACTCCTTTTATCTTTCAAGTAAGCAGAGAGTGCTGCCCCAGCCAAATTTCTGTTGCCTCTCCACCCACTTCCTCAGGCCTGCAAATACCATCGCCCTGCCAGGTGCCAGACTCATTGTGCTTCTCCGACAGCTCCTACCAGCTCTCAAGTCAGCTCTGTGACCCCACAGGGGGGCCCCAGGATACTGGATACTTCACCTCTTTCCCTTCCACAAGCTTTGTTTATTTACTAAAACTTTCTTTGCCTCTTCTAAGTTCCACAGCCTTCACATATGCTCTACCCTCCCAAGAGGTCTCAGCTCTGCCACGTTTCCATCCCACTTCAGATACCCCTGCCATGGAGAGCTCCAGAGAGGGTCATCACCGCTGTGTGTGTAAAATGACAGGCACATATCTGATCAAAGAGATCTTGGTGCTGCCCCACCTGAACTCATTATCTCAAGAGTGTAACAAACTAGGGCTATCGGCCCCAGCCTAGGACTTTAAGGTGTGTCATACATTGGGGCTGGGAAGAGATGAGACAAGGATAGAATTTTAAAAATGCAAACAGGTCAGGAGAATGAGACTAAAATGCTAGGCGATGGCTCAGCAGGGCACATGCTCCAAAGAGCAGGCAGCTGAAGCCCTAATAGGGAGATATGAGTACTAGGCAGGATGGCAAGAGCACTCTCTTTCCAGATAGACAGATGAGAGAGAGATAAAAGATGATGGTGATGATAGATAGATGATAGATAGATAGATAGATAGATAGATAGATAGATAGATGATAGATAATAGATGAAACAGAGATGGATGGATGGACAAATAGATGAGAGAGATAGGTAGATGATGGATGGATGGATGGATGGATGGATGGATGGGTGGATGGATTAGATATAGAGATGGAGAGGTGGATGGATGGATACATACATGTTGTTGTTGTTGTTATGTGCCGTCGAGTCGTTTACGACTCATAGCGACCCTATGCACAACAGCCCTAAACCCTGCTCTATCCTGCGCCAACCGCACTGCCTCTGACACACGGGCCTGTTGCCAGGAGGGACCAGTCCTTAGAGAAGAGGCGGGGGATATATCATGGAATAGTACAATTTGAAGTGCGGGGCAGTAAGGAAAATGGGAAGGAACTGGCGTAAAAAACAATGTATTCAACTTTTGTAAATAAACTAGGATAAAAAAATGAATCCTTGCTGAAAGTAAAGAATATCACAAGAATGTCTATACCTTATTGACCACGTATTTGACTGTGTGGATCGTAACAAGTTATAGATGACATTGAGAAGAATAGAATTCCAAGAGCATTTAATTGTGAAACCTAAACCTAGACCTAGACCAACAAGCTATTGTGCAAACAGAACAAGGGAACACTACATGGTTTAAAATAAAGAGAGTAGTGTGTCAGGGTTGTAATCTCTCTCCATACCTATTCAATCTGTATGCTGAGCAAATTATTCAGGAAGCTGGACTCCTGAAGAGGAATGTGGCATCATCAGGATCGAAGGGAGACTCATCAGTAACCTGTGTTATGCAGATGATACAACCTTGCTTGCTGAAAGTGAGGAGGACTTGAAGCATTTCTTGCAGAAGTTCAAAGAATATAGACTTCAATACGGCCTGCATCTCAATGTCAAGGAAACAATGATTCTTACCACTGGACCTATAGGCAACATCATGATGGACGGAGAAGAAATTGAAACTGTCAACAACTTCACCTTACTTGAATCCGCAATTAACACCATTAGGAAATCAGGTTATGTATTGCAGTGGGAAAGTCTGCAGTTAGGGACCTCTCCAAATTATTGAGGAGTACTGATGTCCATTTGAGGGCTAAGGTGTCTCTGATTCAGGCCATGGTCTTTCCAATCACTTGCTATGCATCTGAGAATCAAACAATAAAGATGATAGAAGAACTGATGCCTTTGAGATGTGGTTTTGGAGAAGAGCGCTGAACATCTCATGGACGGTCAAAAGAACAAATAAATATCTCTTGGAGACGGTGCAGCCAGAGTGCTGTTTAGAGGCAAAGATGATGTGCCTTCTTTGACTCACATACTTTGGACATGTTGCTAGGAGGTGCTATTCAATGGAAAGGGACATAATGCTTGGAAAGGTACAGGTTTGGTGAAGGAAAGGAAGAACCTTAGCCAGGTGTATTGACACGGTGACTGCCACAGTGGGCTCTAATGTGTCGAAAGTGTGAGGAAGGCACAGGATAGGACAGAGTTCATCTCTGTTGTTCATGAGATCTCTATGGGTCACACTTTACTTGACAGCACTTAACAACAAAAACAAGCTTGAGAATAAACCAAGGATGACCACTCTCCTCATTCTTATCAGAAGAGCTCTGGCACTTCTAACCAGTGACACACACATGAAAAGATACAAGGAGCTACAATTTCTAAAGGAATTTTGAGAAAGAAAATTAAAGTGAAAACAATCTACCTCCAAA